CCTTGGTGTGCCGGTCCACTTTTAACCACCCACGGCAGAGCTCCTGGAGGCGGCCATAGGCCTCGCCCCTCGGCCTCCTGGTAGCAGAAGCGCGGAAGTGCTGCTGCCCGCTGCTTCTCCTGGGCGGTGGTGTCCCCGCGCAAGATGGGCCGCCTTCACTTCCCCATAATCCTCTCTGTCGCTGGCCTCCAGGGCTGCCAAAGGCCCACTCGGCCCCTCCTCGGAGGGCTGGCAGCAGCCTGGCGCCCACTCTCCCTTGGGCCACCCGCTCAAAGGAGGGCCAGAAAGCCCTTGGCATCGTCCCATGGGGCCGCCCGATCCGGGCAGAGGAGACTCCATTGTCTTCAGGAACTCCTTGTTTTTAAATTGTATTTGTTTTTATATTGGGTGTTAGCTGCCCTGAGACCGGTCTTGGCTGGGGAGGGCGGGGTATAAATTATTATTATTATTATTATTATTATTATTATTATTATTATCTCCTGTGGAGGGGAGTTCCAGAGGTTAACGATACGCTGCTATGCGCTTTGGTCTCCGATGCTCTGCAGAAGCCCCCCCCCCCCCATCACCCAGGAATTGTAGGAGGCTCAAGCAGGCAGGCCCCCTTCGTTTTAGGAGGCTCCCTGCCCCATGCCGTCCCCCTGTTCTACCGCCCCTCCCCTGTACCCCATAGAAAAGCGCTGTCCACGTACCCTTTGACCCAGCTTGCTCAAAGAGTTTGCTTCTTCTGGAAGGGGGGAAACCAGCAGCAGAGAGACCCCTGCCTGCTACCCAGAGGAGGGAGAGCGATTGCAAAAGAGGGTCTTTTTTCCTCCTCCAGCAATTCCCTGCCTCTCCGCCTCCATGCCCCAGTCTAGCACACTGTCCTCCTGTCTTCTCCTCCTCTCCTTCTTTCCTCCTCCTTTTATGCCAGCTGCAAAAGAAATTCAAAACCAAGGCCCACCCCCTAACCAGGGAGGAAAAACCCTTCCTGGCTTTCACAAGCCTGCCTCCCTCCTGCAACTCTAGCCATTGCAGCTCTGTGGGTTTAACTCTTCAGCTGCACAAATCCTTGCAGAATCGCAGCATTGGAAGGGACCCGAGGGTCATCTAGTCCAACCCCCTGCAATGCAGGAATTTTTCACCCGACATGGGGCTGGAACCCACGTCCCTGAGATTCAGAGTCTCATGCTCTGCATCTGAGCTATCTTAAAAGGTAAAGGTACCCCTGCCCGTACGGGCCAGTCTTGCCAGACTCTAGGGTTGTGCGCTCATCTCACTCTATAGGCCGGGAGCCAGTGCTGTCCGGAGACACTTCCGGGTCACGTGGCCAGCGTGACATCGCTGCTCTGGCGAGCCAGAGCCGCACACGGAAACACCGTTTACCTTCCCGCTAGTAAGCGGTCCCTATTTATCTACTTGCACCCGGGGGTGCTTTCGAACTGCTGGTTGGCAGGCGCTGGGACCGAACGACAGGAGCGCACCCGCCGCAGGGATTCGAACCGCCGACCTTTCGATCGGCAAGTCCTAGGTGCTGAGGCTTTAACCCACAGCGCCACCTGCGTCCCGCTGAGCTATCTTAGGTGCAGCCTTATTAGAAACGGTGCATTATTATTATTATTATTATTATTATTATTATTATTGGTCCGAATATAAGCTGCCTCCCCCCCCCAATTCTGACCTTGAAAAGTTAAAGTGTGGCTTAAATTTGCGACCTTACAAAAACTGCCTTTTACAATATTGCTGCTGAAACAGACATACGGTAAAAGGGAACAAAAAAAAGTTTTATTGCCGATTTGCGAGCTTGAGACTTCATTTGCCATTTACGGGTGTGAGTGCCTGCGGCATTGTAGCAGCTGAATAGTGATTTGCGATTTTAGCGATTGTACGGTAACTTTTGTGGGCTTGCAAGAGCAAAGGCTTAAATTGGCTCGGAGTTACACTTGTACCTGTGGCAGCAATTTTCAGCCTGTAACCCAATTTTAAGGGAGTGGCTTATATTTGGGTATTATCTTTTTTTCTCCCCCCCCCCCTTGAATTTTAAAGGTGCGGCTTATTTGTGGGTGCGGCTTATATTCGGGCCAATACGGCATTCTGTTGTGATTCTCTGCTGCAGACTAGCTAAGCAAGGTGTCTTAGATCTGAGTCTAATACACTAGAAAAATTCCGTGCGTTCATGTAAACCAAAAAACCAAACCAAAAAACTTGGGACATTATGCCAAATTTTAAAAATCCGCCCGGGCAACAATTTTAATCAGGAAAATAGAGGATGTGACAGGAAAAAGAGGACACATGGCAACCAGGCAAGCTGAAAAAGGTCAGATGATGGAAAAGCGATCCAACTCTCTCTAGCCAGGAGTAAAACTCTTCCCTCCTCTGCCTGATCCTTCTGGGAAGTTTCTCTCCCCCCTTCAAGTCCCCCCTCTCTGCCTTTGTGGCACAAACAGCAGCAGGGCTAGAGTCTAGCTGTACAGAAGAGACTCTTCACCCCCCATGAAACACTAGTCCCCACCCTCCTGTGAACTGGGGTCTCCATGTGAATTTTACCTCTGCGGAGATTTCTGAAAGACTGGACATATGAGGAAGCAAAAAGAGGGTTAAGAGGCTACATTGCAATAGCTCAAAAATATATATATATTTTGTAAAGCACCCTGTTCTTCCTTATTTTAAGCAAAAGATGACATCATAGAGCAAATAATTGCAAAGATAACAACTAAAGCCCTAAGGAATTAAAACAACTAACGTGTTTAGCTGTGATCCCTGCAATTGCAGGGGGTTGGGCTAGACCAGGGGTCAGCAAACTTTTTCAGCAGGGGGCCGGTCCACTGTCCCTCAGACCTTGTGGGGGGCAGGACTATATAGTGGTACCTCGGGTTAAGTACTTAATTTGTTCTGGAGGTCCGTTCTTAACCTGAAACTGTTTCTTAACCTGAAACACCACTTTAGCTCATGGGGCCTCCTGCTTGCTGCTGCGCTGCCAGAGCACGATTTCTGTTCTCATCCTGAAGCAAAGTTCTTAACCCGAGGTACTATTTCTGGGTGAGCAGAGTCTGTAACCTGAAGCATCTGTAACCCAAGGTGCCACTGTATTTTGAAGAGAGAAAAAAATAACAAAATCCTATGCCCCACAAATAACCCAGAGATGCATTTTAAATAAAAGGACACATTCTACTTATGTAAAAACACGATGATTCCCAGACAGTCCGCGGGCCAGATTTAGAAGGAGATTGGGCCAGATCCAGCTCCTGGGCCTTAGTTTGCCTACCCATGGACTAGATGACCCTTGGGATCCTTTCAAACTCTACTATTCCATGATTCCATGAGGAAATCAGAAATGGTAAACCATGCTAGAAAATGGTGGGAATACAATCATTCAGAATCCATGAATGAAATGGGCATCTGTACTGAATGGCTGGAGGAAGGTTAACATCTGGCTTGAGAGCAGTAACATGTGAAAAGGATCTAGGAGTCTTGGTTGACCACAAACTTGACATGAGCCAACAGTGTGAAGCGGCAGCTAAAAAAGCCAATGCAATTCTGGGCTGCATCAATAGGAGTATAGCATCTAGATCAAGGGAAGTAATAGTGCCACTGTATTCTGCTCTGGTCAGACCTCACCTGGAGTACTGTGTCCAGTTCTGGGCACCACAGTTCAAGAAGGACACTGACAAACTGGAACGTGTCCAGAGGAGGGCAACCAAAATGGTCAAAGGCCTGGAAACGATGCCTTATGAGGAACGGCTAAGGGAGCTGGGCATGTTTAGCCTGGAGAAGAGGAGGTTAAGGGGTGGATATGATAGCCATGTTCAAATATATAAAAGGATGTCACATAGAGAGGGAGAAAGGTTGTTTTCTGCTGCTCCAGAGAAGCGGACACGGAGCAATGGATCCAAACTACAAGAAAGAAGATTCCACCTCAAACATTAGGAAGAACTTCCTGACAGTAAGAGCTGTTCGACAGTGGAATTTGCTGCCAAGGAGTGTGGTGGAGTCTCCTTCTTTGGAGTCTTTAAGCAGAGGCTTGACAACCATATGTCAGGAGTGCTCTGATGGTGTTTCCTGCTTGGCAGGGGGTTGGACTCGATGGCCCTTGTGGTCTCTTCCAACTCTATGATTCTATGATTCTATCTGCGCCAAGTGAACTAGTGGGGAAAAGCTGTTGAAACCGGAATTTCCAAGCATGCTGACAAACCAGAGGAAGAATCGGCAGAGCTTTACCCTGTAATTCCAAAGGTCTCATGCAATGGGAAGTCCTCCTGCCGGGAATGGGGCTGATCTCAAAAGCCCCAAAGAACCTCTGCAGATTGTGTGGAGGGAAAACAAAATGCAAGGGAGATTCCTTATACATGAGAAGGCGACAAGATGGACATTGGACTGACCCTGCAGGATCCTCCTTAAGGTTTTGTAAGATATTGTAAGACTCTGAGGGTTTTCCCTACAAACAAGCAGTATACAGATTTTATGAAAGAAAGCAAAATCTATAAAATCGAGAGTGAAACCAGGATCCTAGTCTATAGGCAGGAATGGAACTCAGACTGGTGTGCAGGTTCTTCACAGGGACAAGCTCTGCCCCCAATCCAAGCCTTCAAACCCTCTCCCAGTTCATTCATGGGACAGACCAAGAACCCAAACACCACTAGAGGACTGTTTCCCAGAGTGACGCCATTGATGGGGGTCCCAAAGTCTGCAGAACAGACGGTTTAACACCATGAAATATCAGTCCCCATCCCTCCTGTCAAATTGTTCCTCCCCTGGAAATTTACCTTTCTGAGTCTGTTTTCTGTATAACACAGCATCTGAGGAAGCAAAAAGATATAACGTGTAAGGGCAACACTACTCTTCCACCTGAGATAAATCTCCATACAAAAGGAACACTTCATAATGTAGCATCCTTGAATTGACTCCATTCAGAGCAGGAGAATCTCCCAAAGGACAACCCCAGATTTATGTAGACTGGTAACCAAAAGGAAAAGGAGGTTCCGTAGAATTGAAAAGAGATACCCTCTGGTTCAGGCTTCCTTTACAGGATCCAGCGCCATTCTGGGGGACAGGAAATGAAGGCTGGAGCCCCAAGAAGGAAGGTATCCTGGGGTTACGCAATTCCATGCAGTAAGAGCCTGGCATGTTCAGTTCTGAAGAAATAATAGAAATCCCAGTGTGAAATCCTGGCAGCCAATTTCCATTACCTTCCCATTGTTTCATGGGATCCTCCACAAGGTGATTTAGATCACAGGATTCCAAGACCCTGTTCCTCAGCTCTGGAGGGAAAGGCAGTGGCTTCTCTGGACTCTCTCTTTTCTCATCATACCTGGTGAAAAGAAGAACAATGTCAGCCCATTCAAATCTGCAATTTCTGTTAAAGGAAAAGAAAGGAATTGGGAGGAGGCCTAGAGGGACAGGCATGCGCTGAGTGGGGAGTTTCTTCCTCACTACGGACTCCTCAGCCAGACCCCCAAGGGCCAAAACAGCAACCCCAGGCCTCTGAGTCTCCCCACTGATGTCTATTCAAAGCAGCAGCAGAATCCTATGGTATCAAGGGGCAGGAATTGTCTGAGGGTGGTGAGAGCACAGCACACATGTCCTTTCTCTAGATGTCCCCAGAGAAGGGGAGAGGAAGAAAAAGAGATGCACTTTTGTTGGGAAACAAGAAATGTTCCTTCAAACCTCTACTCTGCACCTGAGTGATTCCTTAAATATAAATACTGCAGCCGGAATATGGTCAAGAAAATAGCCAATTCCTGCTCCTTGGTGAGAAATCGCCCCCTCCCAAGGGGCTCTATGGGGCAGGAGTTTGCTTGGGACAGGGGGGGTGGCCGGCAGAGTGACTGAACTGGTCAGTCTAGAAGGAAACAGCTAAGGCAGGCACGTCCAACTCCCAAGAGACTGTGATCTACTCACAGTATAAAAAGACCAACTGTGATCTACCCATTGTCAAGTTCCAAAGAGGGGCCCTGCTTTTACCTGTGAGATGCCTCTGGGAGTGAGTCCTACAGTCTCCCCCCTGCAGCCCCTGGGGGGCCATGTCTGAGGTTCCTGCATCTCAGCTTCAAAGAGTGAAGCTAATGGAAATGAGCCAGATCCACTTACCTCTGCAAGGTGCTTCTCACATCCTAGAGGGGGAAAGAGAAGGGAATTCACTGCACACCACAGGCCACACTAGGAAGACCCCTCAGACCCTGGCCCTCGGATGTCAGTCTGCCTGGCACATACCAAGGTTTTGGGTAGGAATGGCTGAATCAGCCAGTTTTGGTTTCTCACAGTCTGAAATTATTAATTTTTCCAGTATCAAGTTCTCCACATTTCCACATCTGTTTACAATTATTTTTTAAGAATCCTTATGAAAATCCACCAGCATTTTTGGGAAATTGAATATTTGTGGGTTCAGGAGAAGATTCCATCCCATCTCTTGTCTTAGATTATAATTTATTAACTTAATCCAGTTTGCATTGTGCAATTCAGACGTAAGTAAGCCTACAGGATAATCCTACCAGAGAACTGTCCCAAATTGTCTTCCATAGAAGTCCCCAAATTTCAAATTCTACTTTCCAACTGGAAATAAGAAAAGCACCTGCAGCATAAAATGCCTCCAAAGGGGTAATAAAGCACCTCCCAGTACGTTTCCGAGCACAATTCAAAGTGTTGGTGCTGACCTTTCAAACCCTAAATGGCCTCAGCCCAGTGTACCTGAAGGAGCGTCTCCACCCCCATCGTTCTGCCTGGACACTGAGGTTCCCTCCTTGCAAGAAGTGAGGTTCCAGGGAACCAGGCAGAGGGCCCTCTTGGTAGTGGCACCAGCCCTGTGGAACACCTTTCCATCAGATGTCAAGGAAGTAAAAAACTATCTGACTTTTAGAAGGAAACTGAAGGCGGCCCTTCTTAGGGACGTTTTTAATGTCTGATGCTGTATTGTTTTTAATATTTGGTTGGAAGCCGCTCAGAGTGGCTGGGGTAACCCAGGCAGATGGGCGGGACAAAAATATTTATTATTATTATTATTATTATTATTATTATTATTATTTTAAAAGACGCCTGCTCCTTGGGAGAAAGGCGATGGCAAACCTAGACAGCATCTTAAAAAGCAGAGACATCACCTTACCAACAAAGGTCCGTATAGTTAAAGCCATGGTTTTCCCAGTAGTGATGTATGGAAGTGAGAGCTGGACCATCAAAAAGGCTGATCGCCGAAGAATTGATGCTTTTGAATTATGGTGCTGGAGGAGATTCTTGAGAGTCCCTTGGACTGCAAGAAGATCAAACGTATCCATTCTTAAGGAGATCAGCCCTGAGTGCTCACTGGAAGGACAGATCGTGAAGCTGAGGCTCCAATACTTTGGCCACCTCATGAGAAGAGAAGACTCCCTGGAAAAGACCCTGATGTTGGGAAAGATGGAGGGCACAAGGAGAAGGGGACGACAGAGGACCAGATGGTTGGACGGTGTTCTCAAAGCTACAAACATGAGTCTGACCAAACTGCGGGAGGCAGTGGAAGAAAGGAGGGCCTGGCGTGCTCTGGTCCATGGGGTCACAAAGAGTCGGACACGACTGAACGACTAAACAACAACAATTATTATTATTATATAGCTTAGTGTTTCTTTGGGCTCATCCACACTTCTGCTTTTCCTGTGCCCAGAAAACACAGGTCCAAGTAGTTTTGCCTTTGCCCTGCCGCTTTCCCTCAGGAAAAACCTGCTCCTTAGTTCAACATCTAAGCAAACGTCAATCCAGAGAAAACCTGGCTGAGGTTTGCTCTCATTCAGCAGTAGAGAGCAGGTTTTCCTGGAGGAAAGGTGTGGGAGAAGCAGCAGTCTGGATGAGTCCCTCTGTCTTGCTCTTTGGTCACTGTGACTGAGCACCATTTTGGGCCGCTCTGTATCCATTGTGAAGGGGATCAACCAAGAAGTTGTGGAGGGAACTGGAAGAGAAGCTTGGTCAAGAGACTGGCTCATGTCAGAAGGAGGCCTGAACTCATCCTCGCTGAAGCCCAGCCCAGCCCAGGGCAGGAAGGCAGCATTGCCAAGAAGAAGGCGGCATTTGGAGACAAATCATCAGCAAAGAGCAGAAAACCACCTCCTGTTCCATCAAGAACACAGAAGAATCTCTAGTCTGCATTCAGGTGAGTTAAGCATCCCAGGTCTCTTGGGTCTTCCTGTCCATGACAAACCTGACTAGAGGCTCCATCATCTGAGCCCCTGCACTCCTTGCATACATGAAAGGGACACATAAAGGATTGGAGGCAGCCTTTTCCTGGAGCCTTGGGCTGTTCCTGCCACCATCTTACCTGCAGCAGTTCACTCGCTGGCTGCTGACGCTTCTCCTCCATCTCCTGGATGATCCTCTCAAGAGAGGAGAGTTTCCTGGAGAGTCTGGCCAGCTGCTCATCCCTTCTCCCTGCAATCTCCTTCTCCACCTCTTCCATATGATTCAGCAGACCTTTTTCTTGTTCTTCCAGGAACTGGCGCAGTTCTCTGAACTTCTCCACAATCTTCAGCCTCTCTGTTTCTGTTAATTTCTGCAAGAAAAGAGGAGGTCTGAGTGTGTTTGGTGCTGTTAGGGAAAAATCTAGGTGTGAGGCTGCTCAGTCACCCAGCTCGTCGGGCAGAGCCTGCGGGTCCCTGCGGAATAAAGGAAGGAGTCCAGCCAAGCGGAGCAAATAGCTGTAGACCAAAGTTTATTGCGCAATAGGTTCAAAAGCAAATTTGAACCCTGAGGATGGGGTGACAAAGACTTTTAAAACTTTCCCACCACATCCCAGAATACAGTTCGAAGGGGAGGGGGTAACCTTGGCAAACATTTCCAGACAAGTCCTTGGTACAAGATTAGCATAAGCAGACATGGCAGGGCAAGACTCAGGTATAAGATTAGCATAGACAAATATGTCTTAAGTACCCACTTAAGTACCCCAAAAGTACAATAGAAGTCCCTTTGCATGTCTGGAGCCTGAGGGAGTCGGGTGATGAGATTTGGCTTCCCTTGGCTAACAATGAGCCCAGCAATTGTCACCTCTGAGAACTTCCTGGAGTCCTTTTGCAAGGGGAAAATAGCTTTGGAATGGGGGGAACTGGGAAAGGAGATGATTTTATATTATTTTTTAAAGCTAGGTGACTTTCCTGAGCTGTCAAGTTGGAAGGATATATTCAGGCATAATATTTGTAATATTTAACTTTAAAGATGTGCCCCCCCCCGTAATTTCCGTAACATGTGCTTAGCCTCGAAACAGCAGAAAGAAAATTATGAGAATTCCACAGGGAGGAAGGACACTTCTGATTTTTCTATAGACATGAAACCTCCAGTGGCTAAAGAAGTAAACCTATATTTTGAGGGGAGGCCCTCTCCATTGCTGTTTCTGTTGACTTCTATTTTGCAGACGGATACAGCCTAAAGGAAGGAGCTCTTTTTTCCTAGCCATGGATTATCCCTGCATGTTTTGGGGCATGGCATAACCAGAGTTCACAGTTGTTCAGAGAACATCAGAGACATAAAACACCCCTCAGTTTAGACTGGGGCCATTTAGGTGTAGGAAGAAACAGAAACAGAGGAGGACAAAGTGCAGAGTTCATCCCCAGAGCTCCCCTGTTTCCTTTAAAGGTTTAAAAAAAGCCTGAGTTTCCTAAAAATGAACAAGAGAGCACATTTAGAATTCAGTTCTTTAGTAATATTTATAGTAAATCAGGATTTGGATTGAATTGCTTCTACCCTTTCAGCTCACAAGTCCTCAAGCTTCTCCTTGACTGCTATTCACATAATAAAGGACAAGGGGAAATAAACTCAATTTAGCTGCATTCAAAGGTGAACTTACCTGATACGGAAGGAGGAAGGGGGGGTACCTGTCCCCTCCCCACCACTTTCTGAAGGGGTCCGAGGCGATGACCTCGACAGTGCCCAGCTCTGCCTAGAACCCTCAGCCCCCACACCGTTGCACAAGCACTACACTATACCCCCTATACGCCTGCCTTGTGAATAAAAGGCTTTCTTTTCCTATCTTTATACGGGCAAAATAAGCCCCATCTTTCTTATGCCTTCCTCTCGCCCTATTTCTAACGTGAGTAGACCGTATCATATTGTATCCCCATTCACTATAATGGGCCGCGTTTTAGCCAATCACAGCCATGCATTCGCCCTGCAGAAGCTAGCTCAGGGAGCTACTGCACGCCTCATTTCACCTCCTGACAAGCTGCTGACGGCCCCCCACTGCGAGAACAATGGAATCGAAACCCCGGACCTCGTAAAACTGTCAAAGTCTTGCTACAATGTATCCATTCTGTCACAATGTATCCATTCTGTTTCCGCTTTTGATCAGCAATATGAAATAGGCTGGAAAATACGGAAACCTTTGGAAATTGATATAAAATCAACCGTAACTCCGATTTCCTCGCTCTTGGTGCCGTTCAACTCAGCTCCCTTTGGACTCCATGATGCTACCCCTACTTCCATAATCCCCGAAACGGCAGGTCACGTACACAGGAACTTCCTAATCCTGTCAAATCGTTCCGCCTAACCCTTCCTCCGGGCAATACTAGGTGGCAGACGATGCATATCTCTGGACTATTGTCTTGCCACCACCGGTACTCAAGAAATGTTTATCTATGCATATCTCTCACTCTGCATGTTCCCCCCCCTTATCTAAAATGTTAATTAGTGGAACCCCACCTTTCTTTAATATATTCATGACGGGTGTAATGTATTCATGATGCAACTCGTGAAACCCAACCTTCCCATAATGTATTCATGACGTTTCTTGCACTGTATTCTGGGACTCGGAGGGAACTTTTAAAAGTTTATGTCGCCCCATTCTCGGGGTTCAATCTCGTCTTGAACCTGTTGCGCAATAAACCTCGGATCTCCGCATCTTGCTCCTGCGTCCGGCTGAGCTTATTTTCTCCGCTAGGACCCGCGGACTTTGTCCGACGAGCTGGGTGACAGGACAACTCCGCACCCGGGATTTTTCCGTAACATTACCTAATTTGCTCTTGCTGAAAAAATACGGAGACCAAAACAGAGTTTTAAAATTCTGATATTTTCAAGCTGGACCCAGCCAGGTAATATTCACAAAAAATGTATTTATGAGGGTAAAGTACAGATCAAAATATTTATACAAGGAGGTAGCTACCCTAACATCTGATTCATAACAGACTGATGTGGAAAAAGGAGAAATGAGGAGAAGCTGAAACGGGCAGATTTCTCCATCCCTCCTCAGTCCTGACTCTCTTCTTCTTCTTCTTCTTCTTCTTCTTCTTCTTCTTCTTCTTCTTCTTCTTCCTCTTCCTCTTCTTCTCTATTGAATTTATATACTGCCCTATACCTGGAGGTCTCAAGTGCTTGTTCCCTGTCGAGTAACAATAGAGACACTTACCAGGAGGTCTTTGCTTTCCTTGTCCAGATCTGCTCGATAGGCCAGAATTTCCTCTCTCTTTCCTCAGAATCTCCAGGCGGTGACAGATCTCTCCCTAAAGAGAAAAGGAAAAACTCAGCTTTGATTGAGACACACAGAGAGATGGAAATCACAATGGCTTCTTGCGCCCAGTGGCCTTGCTAGAATAGCAAAGTAGTTTCCTGGAGGAAATAAAAGCACAGAGGTTTTCAGCCTTTTGGGGTCCACGGCTCCATGGGTCAACTACCTTCTTTCTGCGGCAGCCCTGTGGGGCTCAGGATCTCAGTTAGGTCCCCCCTTCCTTGCAGAGCTGGCAGCCCCTCACCTTTTCTCAAACACCCTCCCTTGTGGAGTGATCTCTCAGCCTCCTCTCCTTTCCTTGGGAGTCCCAGCCTGACTTCTCACCTTGAGGTCTCAGGGAGAAGTGGGAAGAGGAGGAGGAGGAGGAGGAGGAGGAGGAGGAAGGGCTAAGGCAGGATCCAACCTGGGATGTATCAGTCTAGCGTCAAAGAGATACTAGTGAGGTCAGCCCAAGAGGCGAGAGATGCAGAGATAGAGCAGCGCTTCTCAAAACTTCACCCATTCCAAACCCCTCTTTCGGGTCAGATAGCAATTCAGGTTTTCTGCTATTTGTCAGTTATTTTCTCTGCAGTAGCCAGACCCCAAGTGTGCTTGGGCAACCAGGGGAGATTTAAGTGCTGCAGCTTCTTCCATTTCTGGGCCAAAGAAGTTCTGGCTGCGGCCAGAATCCAGCCAGGCAGCTCCTTCGGTCAGAAGATTGCTGCCTAGTCATCCTGCCAATTCAAAGGGACCAGCTTTCCCCCACTATTATTACTATTTCGTGGCATTAGTAGCACTGCATGGCACAGGAGCATTTTTGCACCACTGTAGTAGAACAAGTGATTTTTAAAAAGGAATTAAAAGGCATTATATATAGTATATAATTGCACAGGTCCAATTCCGAGTTGCCATGAAAAAGTCATCTTTCCCCCTGGTCTTTGCAGATGCTACTCTGAACCACGGAGTCCTTTGCCATTTGGGGTGGGAGGAGATCCTCAGCCCCCCCCCCCCGCTGAAACCTCATTGCACAGGCTCCACAGCACCCCCAGATTAAGCCACCAGTAGCTCCTTCCACTCCCCACTCCCAAATCTGCTTCCATCAGATACTTGGGGGGTGGGATCCTGCACCATCTGGTCAACTCCTGGCTAACAGTCCCCGCCCGCCCCCAGCTGATCCCTTGCTGCTCTCTTTTTTGCAGTGCATTGAGGAGACATGTACCGTATTTTTCACACCATAGGACGCACTTTTTCCCTCCTAAAAAGCAAGGGAAAATGTGTGTGCGTCCTATGGAGCGAATGCAGGCTTTCGCTGAAGCCTGGAGAGTGAGAGGGGTCGGTGCGCACCGACCCCTCTCGCTCTCCAGGCTTCAGGAAGCTATCCGCTAGCCGTGGGAGACCCAGCTCTCCCACCGCTAGCGGAGCGCTGCATTAATCCCAAAGCTTGGGGCGTGCAGAGCTCAGCGCGCCCCAAGCTTCTGGGTGCCGGCAAGATCTCCGCTAGCCGTGGGAGAGCCCCGCGACGTCGCGCGGCTCTCCCACGGCTAGCGGACCGCTGCGCTAATCCCGAAGCTTGGGGCGTGCAGAGCTCAGCGCGCCCCAAGCTTCTGGGTGCCGGCAAGGTCTCCGCTAGCCGTGGGAGAGCCCCGCGACGTCGCGCGGCTCTCCCACGGCTAGCGGACCGCTGCGCTAATCCCGAAGCTTGGGGCGTGCAGAGCTCAGCACGCCCCAAGCTTCTGGGTGCCGGCAAGGTCTCCGCTAGCCGTGGGAGAGCCCCGCGACGTCGCCTGGCTCTCCCACGGCTAGCGGACCGCTGCGCTAATCCCGAAGCTTGGGGCGTGCAGAGCTCAGCGCGCCCCAAGCTTCTGGGTGCCGGCAAGGTCTCCGCTAGCCGTGGGAGAGCCCCGCGACATCGCGCGGCTCTCCCACGGCTAGCGGACCGCTGCGCTGATCCCGAAGTTTGGGGCGTGCGGAGCACAGCGCGCCCCAAG